GTATTAATCAACGAATCCTATTGAACTGATTTATTTTATATACAGGTGAATGAAACTGACCGGGCTAGCCCAGCAGAGTCAACATACAGATAAATAAGATATATATATATTACTAGCATAGATAACATAGATATCATTACACATAGATAAAGATTATATTACAAACCTACACTCCACTCTTTCTAATTATAACTTAATTGTTTGGTTGTTAAATGGCCAACACACTGATCTAAACAGTTTTAAAAATTAGAATCAACGCTCTTTAGTTCTCTGGTTCTCTGGTTCTCTGGTTCTCTGGTTCTCTGGTTCTCTGGCTCTCTGGTTCTCTGGTTCTCTGGTTCTCTGGTTCTCTGGATCTCTAGTTCTCTGGTTCTCTGGTTCTCTGGTTCTCTGGTTCTCTAGTTCTCTAGTTCTCTATTATCTAGTTCATTAGTTCTCTAGTTCTCTGGTTCTCTGGTTCTCTAGTTCTCTGGTTCTCCAGTTCTCTGGTTCTCTTGTTCTCTGGTTCTCTAGTTCTCTAGTTCTCTTGTTCTCTATTATCTAGTTCTCTAGTTCTCTAGTTCTCTAGTTCTCTAGTATTTTTTCGAAAATTGTACGGATTGTACGGATTTTTTTTCGAAAATTGTACGGATTGTACGGATTTCCTCTGAAAATGTACGGATTTTTTCAAAAAAGTTTTGGCCACCCTGCATTTTGTTGTACTGTTTCCATATAACTGCAGGTGTACTTAACATATTTGTGCTATATAGCCTTTTGGGCCCTGGAGTATCATTTTATAGAAAAGTTTTCTTGAAAATTATTTGATTTTCACTAAATCAATTCTCTGATAGCCTGTCAGGCACACGTGGATAAAAATCAATCTAATATTTTTTTTCATTGTAATCAAAGAGGGAAACCCAATATTTTAGAAATATTCAAGATATAAACATATGATTTTCCGTTATAACTATAAATCAAATGATGTTTATTATTCGCATAATTCATTTTATAAAGTTTATTTAACTGCTTTAAAAAATTCGAAATTGAAATGGATATTCTAGGGAACATATTGTATTAATGTACTCTATTGCATATAATTTGTGAACATTTACATGAGGCTGAAAGGGACTGAAAAAATTCATACCAAGAGATTCTCTAAATTCCCCTCTAATATATATTCTGTTATCTTTGGCTACAACATCTACTCTATTTCCATTTGCTCAATGGCAATTTGCTCTAGTTCCATATGCTCTATACCTCATTTCCTCTATGCCTAAACAGTAAACACGTCATTTGCTCTATAAACTAAAAATACAATTAAAAATTAGATTTTATTGGTTTTCAATATGCGCGAATTTTTTTTTTGAAAAATTCGCTTATTATTAAAACTTGCAGTTTTAATCAGTTCTTCAGATTTCATCATGACAGCATGACTGCTCAATAACAAGAGGGGTAAATAAAACCTAATATGTGATGAAAACTACATTTATTCTACTCCAAACAAACAGGATGGCTATCAATACTGGAGCTGTCTTGAATACAGAAGGGAGAATTGTTCTGCTGTGGCTAAAACTTTCATTAACTGGAAAGATATTCTGAACTTGCCTGAGCACAGCCATCCATTAGGTATTAGGCAGTAAAACTTCCTGTTAGCTGAATGTGATGCATTAAGTAAAGGAATAGAAAACCCTGCTTTGCTTTCTCTAGTAATTCAAGCAGAGTGGAAGAAAAGGTAATCCAAGAATAAAGATACCAACCTGGAACAGGTTTGCCACAGTGTTTTAGAAGGTTCAATGTTCAAACAATAGTGCAGAGGCAATTAACGGTGCCTGGAACATATGTACTCCAACAAATGCATCTCTATGGTGAATATGTGATGGTTTTCTGAGAAAAGAAGGTCTGGTGCATCAAATGATGGTCGGGTAAATGCTGAATATCCTCTTGCTCCTGGTTCTTCTAGGAAGCAATACTAAAAGAACAAGGAAATGTTAATATTTAGATTGGTATCTTGATATGCACAAACAAAAATATCTCCAGGAAGTTGGCGTAATAATGAAACTGAAAGAAGAATTGTAACATTGTTGTCGGATAGCAGCAAGATTCTCAATAATGAACAAATAGACAACGAAATGACCCACAAATCAAAACCGATAATTCAGAGAAACTCTTTATTTCCTAAAAAATGAAATGGATAATAACATATAAATTATTAAAAAGTTTTATAATTTTTATAATGAAAAGATTCTTACGATCTATTAAAGGATAAGTAGGTTAAAACCGTCGGGGAGTCCTAAGACGTTTTTATATATTAAAACTTCTGAAAAGAATGACAATTAATTATTAACGAAAGTCACTAATTCTTTATATGAAAATATTCTGTTCACAATAATAAAAGTTTTTAGACTCCGTTACCGGAGAACAAAGAAATGGGGCCAAAATTGTTTGGTTTGGTGTCTCCGAGAGGGGATTTCAAGTTAAAGACGACATTACATGGATGGACGGAGGGATCTTATAGTTAATGGTTGACAAACATGTTTTATGTACTTATAGACATAGCAATATAGTTTTAATATGTTTAGATATTTTTGTAAAATATGTTTATAGAGCAAATTATGTGTTTACTCATAGCGCAAATGTTGAGTAGAGCAATTGGATCAAGACAGTCATAAAAATGTTTATAGAGCAAATGACATGTTAAGTCATAGATCAATTGATAAATAGAGATTATGACATATAAAACAAACGTCATGATCTATGAGCTATAGCAAATGATTAATAGAGCAAATGGAACTAGAGCAAATGGAACTAGAGCAAATGGAAATAGAGCAGATGTTGTAGCTAAGATTATGTTAGGTCTTAAAGTAGGTTGTATGAAGTTAAGCTCGGTAGTTGGAGTTGGATGGAGGTTAAAAATGGTAAAATAAAAAAAAAACTGTGCATGCCATTTTCTTAAAAGTTACTTGATAATTGTTTGAAAAAACTTCTAGGTCAATTTTTCTTTACTACATTCATTCTTTACTACACCTCCACATTTGCAGTTGCTGCTTCTATGAACAATTCTGAAGTCCAGTTAGTTTTCCAGTTTATTTTCTCTCGAGATACATCATCAATTACCCAAACCTCCCTATGGCAAGGTATCTTACATCCTGGAAAATTAGAGTAACATTTATTTGTTTTAATATCTTACTCCCCGGAAATGATTGCACAACCTTCTAAATTTTTGAATACAGCCCTTAGGATCCATTTCATTTTGATGCAAATCCGGATCTGGATCCTTGATCCACCTGGGAAAAAATGGATCCCGGTCATGAACATTTTCTCAAGATTTACTTGTTTTTTAATTTTAATAATCTCATAAGTAAACAGTTGAAATTTGTGGTTTGAGAGCATGAAGTTTTAAACAGGTTTTGGTTGATATTTTACCCCTTAGATCTGAATCCATGAAGCCAAAATGTTGTGAATACAACAGATACAGACCCTGAGCACTTCTCAAATACAGTAGCTAGATGATTTTAAAGTTTTCTTTGATCATTAGATTTATTTGAGACATTTATTTGTTAGTCTTCTTCACATGTATGATTCTTTAAACAATAACCACAATATTCTTCTAGTCCTGGGAATTCCAAACTGTTGTCTGCCTTTTTTGTGCTATCAATATTACCGGAGATATTAAGAATTTTGATAAAATTTCAATTTTATTAAATAAAATCAAAATTATTGACATCTGAACTAAATCAATCTAAAAGGTAACTCCAGAATTTTACTTCTAAAATCTGGTTTTCGAATAAATGCTGGAAATTATTTCAAAGACAACCTTAAAGTTGTCTTAACACTGTCATGTTTTGGGTGACACCCTGCACAAAATAAATATTCTTGTACCTGAAACTGAACTGATATTTTTAAACGATGTAGTCTGAATCATAGTCATCAAATTGGCAACTTTTACAAGACCATGGAGATCACAATCTGCAGGATGATCTGTCATTGGATCAAACCATGCCAAATTACATCCAGATATTTTCCTGATATAGGTGAAAATGCACTCAGTCACGCTATACTCCTAATAAATGGCTTCTTAATTTTTTATTATAGGATGTTTGAAAAAGAATTAGGCAGGTGTGCACTGTGGAGTCTTGGTGAGTGTATAGTGAAGGTATATATTTTATTAATACATGTTTCCCCTTTTCTCTGAATTAAGAGAGGAGGGGGTCCAGGGGGAGTATTCAAAACATATACCCCCATATTACAAGTAGAATCAATGTATAGTCAAAGCTAACTGTTAGATCTGGAAGGTAAGATCTTGATTGTGAATTATACTCTTGAGAATTAATTGTGGTGAAGTGTGATATGTTATGTACAATGTACTCTCTGAACATGCAAGTAATCTGGGCGCTACGACATCTGCTCTATTTCCATTTGCTCTATGGTCATTTGCTCTATGGCCATTTGCTCTATCAAGTCATTTGCTCTATACATCATTTGCTCTATATGTCATTTGCTCTATATTCAATCTACTCTATGACTAAACACGTCATTTGCTCTATAACAAAAAAATAAACTATAAAATAGCTTTTATTGGAATTCCTGAGCGTAACTTGACTATGAAATGCGGGATTTTTTTTTTGGAAAATTCGCAAATTGCAGTTTTCATCAGTTCTTCAAAGTCCATCATGCCTGGAACAAATGTACTCCAACAAATGCATCTCTATGGTGCATTTTTGATGGTTTTCTAAGAGAAGAAGGTCTGGTGCATGACGTGTTTACTCATAGAGCAAATGTTGAGTAGAGCAATTGGACCATCACAGTCATAAAAATGTTTATTGAGCAAATGACGTGTTATGTCATAGATCAATTGACGTATAGAGCAGATGACATATAGAGCAAACGTCGTGATCTATGAGCTATAGAGCAAATGGTTAATAGAGCAAATGGCCATAGAGCAAATGACCATAGAGCAAATGGAAATAGAGCAGATGTTGTAGCGCCAGTAATCTGGCTGTTAAATTTGTAATATTAATAATTAAAGCTGTTGTGCATATCAATGTATTCTTAATTTAATGTTTTTTACGAAAGAGATTTTATTTTCATGATGAATTAAAAACTTTCCTGATCTGGAATACATGAATTAAACTCAGGGATTTTCTTAACAATCTCTTTGTGAAACTTTACCTGAAATAAAAGTATTTAAATTTGTACACTGAAACCTCATGGATTAGTTAATATTTACAGCATTTTAATCTACTCCATTTGTTTATGTTCTAGAGTAAATAGTCATTTAGAAATTTTTTTAAGTTATAATGATAAAGTTAACCGTTAAACGCTCTAAGTGGTTGAGAATGATAGCTGAGGATTGCCCTGTAACACTCATCACTAGTGCTGGCCAAAAATTCTAAATTTTTATTATTCATTTACTTTTGAAACCTACCTAAAGGGATTGAAAAGGGTATGGGATAAGTTGGGATCAAATTTGGTATCAAATGGTAATATTTCTGTTCTACATAAATATTACTGGGAGTTGAAATTCCATCAGAGAAGAACGCTGAGTGGGCCGGGTAATCATTCGAAAACCATTGTTAGAAAAAGATTTATAACAGAAAAATACTAGTGCTTCGGAATTATCTGAAATCCCATTTATGTTTTTAAAAAACACTTCTTTTAAAATAATTTTCTACCTCTTTAGAGTGAAGATATATTATGTAAGTATCAATTGTCGGATATTTATTGGCAAAATATGCATAGAAGTTTCCATTGGGACCCTTTTTATGTTTGGTGTTGGACTCATATGTAAAACATCTTCCATTTCCCCAGCGCTCTAAATCAAACAGTCTTTCCTCCCATTTGTCTTCATGCAATTCATGAGCTAAGTTCCCTGAATTCTCCCATTCTGGAATTTCCCCGTTACAATCCTCTGTACAAAAACCCCAATGTTCAGGGATTTCTGATAAGTTTTGATAAACTCTAGTGGCGCACCATCTCCTAGTATCATCTGTGGTGGTACAGGTGTAGTGAAGAGTTCTTTTGTGTGGTTTGTCAAAGGAAGAACATTGGTGTGATCGAGTTGGGTCAAACTTATTAGACATCAAACAGTCTTTGTAATAGAATGGAAAGACGCAAGGCCGGCCAAGAGTCCCTCGAGAATTCATAACAATGTTACATCTAAACAATTCCTGATCATGTCTATGGCTGATAAAATGGATGAAATCTTGTCTGCTTCTAGTATGATTCTGAATCCATTTCTTTGCAAAACTTCTTGTTGATTTACTTAGAATTTCATGCAAGAAATCAATTTCAGTATTTGTAAAGGTATAACCAGGGCAAATTGAAATCAAAGGGAATTCCAACTCCTCTGATTCTTGGACATCGCTAAAAAAAATTATAATAAAATTCACAATTATTATCTACAAAAAAATTTTACCTCAAAGTTAATGTCTTTTTTTCGATGTATTTTTTCACAGAAATACTCCCAATGTATAAAAACATCACTATAACACCAGTGTACATCAGTACATTGATACACCTTGAAGGATTGACCATTTTTATATGTGTGTATATCTTTGTGTGTGAATAAATCTTTTTGATATAATAATTATAATTGGTTGATCAAAAAGGAATATTAAAATTAATATACAACTGTCAGTGAATACTTTTTGAAACTGAACTTTTTACACGTATAGATAATGGATTATGGAAAGTAAACTGTTAAAACAAATATTGGAAAAATGAATTATCAAGCTAAACCTACTAAAATCAATATCATGAGTAATATTTGATGCCTTCTTTACTAATTAAATTTTAAGGTTATAGCATATCAAAAGATTAAAAAAGTGTAATAATTGATAAAAACTTCCAAAGTAACCATAAAAACAAAACTTCTATTTTTTGGTATTTAGGTAAAATAGTATAAAACTCTTTGAAAAGTTGTCAATACCACATTTTATCGATGTCCTTAAAGTTATTTGTTGAAACTTCATAAGAATGGGGAAAAAATCACAGTGATGTGATGTACAGGATTTATGTAAGCATGAGTCTTTAAACTAAATGTTCACATATACATATGCGTTTCTTGAAAAAAAAAACTTTTTATTTCTTGATTCTTTTGTTACAGATCTAGAAGTATAGAATTCTGAATAAATATATAAAAAAGAGCAATGGTAAAATCGAATACAAAGGCTGTTAAAATGTAAGTCTAATCGACTTGTAATTAAAAAAAATATAGTATGTTAACAATAATGCTGAAAAAATTGTCCATAGATTACTTTAACCACAGTGTGTCAGACATTTCTTTTGATAAACAAATTTAAATAGCTGATTGGTTGTGCGTCTTAAAGGGAGTGTTTGCGAAAAATGAAAGGGGATATATAGACTGAATAGGATTCAATCGCAAGAGGAAATAGTTTAAAATTGTTCATATAAACTCACCAAGTTGCATTTAATAGTAATTATATTTATAATAATTTAATTATATTTATAATAATTTAATTATACTAGAAATTCAAGGCGCTTCGCGCCCTTCTTTCTAGCCTTAGAGGGCGCTTCGCGCCCATCTTCTAAATTAGTTGTGAACATGTTCTCTTTGTGTACATCGTAAAACTAAACAAAAATAATTCGCGGATTTTTACAAAAAATTTCGCGGATTTTCAAAATTTTAAAAAATTTAATGACGATCGAATTTTGATAGAGACAAATATTTGAAATTTTGATGATTCATAAACCTTCCCTGGGCTCCCTAGATGTCCCACAAAAAATTTGGGCCCGATCGGTTCAGCCGTTTTGACGTTTATTGGATACAAACAGACAGACAGACAGACAGACAGACAAGCCAAATTTATATATAGATTTATAACTGATCATTAAGAAATTTTATCACATAAATTCTGCATTTTATTCGGAATCGGAACATTAGAATGGAGTGGTTAACATACTAAAATGCTTATTTTTGTTTAAAGAAGGCGAGTGTAACTGTTTAAAATATTCCTTCCAATTTCGCGGATTTTTAACAACGAATACAACATTTTTAGTCAATTAACCATTCTTCTCAACTCAACTCTTTAACCCTATTCCTGCTGGGGGGGGGTCAATTTGACCCCCCCTGTAGTTTTTTTTTACATAACTCAAAAAGTATTGGTCTGAGGCTGTTGAAATTTTCTGACTTTTCTTACATACCCAAAGCCCTCCCTTTAGGCCTAAAACCGGGCTTTAATACTAACTGCCTGAGTCCTCAGGCACACTGCCTGAATGACTGCTTTTGCCTGTAACAAGCTAAATCTTTGTTTTGACCCACTTTCACTTGTCAGATTTTGATAAAATTTAGCCTATGACATAAGGAAACGGATTGCGCAAGTTTTGCGAAAAAAATTGCAAATTTTTTGCAAACAATCTATCAAAGGAAATTTGCACATTTTTAGTTTTTCTTGATTAAAAATCAGGTTATTTAAAATTTTGCAAAAACTTTTGCATATTTGAAATGGCATGGTCAAGGGCTTTTCAAAAGTGTATAATTTTTCATTTTTTTGGACAAATTTTTACTATAAAACTGGATTTTGCGATAAAAAATTCTATTTTTTTTAGCAGATTCTAAAAGTAGAGCACAAGAGCTTTCTAATGATGTATCATTTGTCATATTTGGACATAAAACATGGGATTTAGAGGGAGGGGGGGTCAAATTGACCCCCCCCCGCATATCCTGGTTTTCAAGTACCCCAGCAGGGATAGGGTTAATTCAAACTCATCGAGAATGCCGCGCGTTAACCATATTTTTGATAAATCTGTTAATTTATTGGTCTTTTCGGCTCTCAGCTAGAGATGGGCTGTTCGACTTTTTTCATTTCGTTTGTTCTTTTTTCAATTGTCGAAAATTTGTTCCAAAAATGTTTGATTTATTCAGGAAAAATAAATATATTTGTTTACATTTTGTTCCAAAAATCGTTCATTCAGAAAAAAATACAGTTTTTTAAAATCTTTTGGAAAATTTGTTTGTTCAGTAAATAAACGATTGTTTTATTAAAGTTTTGTTTTTTTTCGTTCGTTTTTTATAAAACTATCATTGTTTCCTTTCTCTGAACAATCCATTTCCTACATCCATCATTCGTTTTTTTTCGAATTTCACCCTTTTCCACGAAAATTTCGTTCGTTTAAAAAAACGATGCCAATCTCTACTCTCAGCATTACTCGTGTTCAACCATTACTTCCATCGTTCTGAGATATAGAAAACTCTGAAACTTTGTCATCAAATGTGTAGACTGTAGACAGCCTAGACTTTAACGTTTCGAAAGTCGCAACTGCGCCTTAATCTTTAGTTTTACCTTACCATGACTTATTTATACTTATTTGTAGACCTATAGACTTTAGCTTAAGTTAAAAAGAAGTAATTGTCAAAATACGGCTCAATTTTGGTGTAAGAGTGTGCACTTCTTGGTTTGCAGTGCCATATAGAGGGGGGTGAGGGGGTGAAGTAGAAATGATTTATGTTAGCAGTTGTTCTCAGGCTGTTTCCCTCTTCACACTGAAACTGCAGGTTATTTTAAAAATCTTGAGATCTAAGAAAAGTGTTCTAAATGATCTGAACTTTGAAATGTTGGATCATGAATTAAAATGTGAAATGTTGGTAGTTTTTCCACTTTTGACTGTAATTAGAATATGGCAAGGTCCGCATTAAAAAAATGTTAGTTTTTTTATTGTATATAACTTTCTTTTTGTTTATTAGAAATATTTCTTTATTTTTTCAAGCATTAGATTTTTTAGATCTAAATAATCAAAAGAAAAGCAATAGTTTTGTTTATTTACAGGATCGCACTTATATCCTATTTTATCAGAAGTTTATATATTATGAAAACCATGTTGATTATTGATGGATTTTTCAGAAACTTATGCTAAAAGTGCTTTATCTTTCAAATACTTACTTATGTCTGAGAAGTCCATGAATATAATAAGGATTACTAGAGAGATGATTACTGAATTTTGTCAGACCAGTCTGGATAAAAAAATTATCCTATCTCAAATTTGTGTTTTTATCTTATGAAAATATTATTTTGTTTAAATACAATGTTGCGAAAAAAACTCAAAATCAAATTAATTTTATAAAGGAATTGAGTCTTTGTCTTAGACCTTAGATATTTCAAACTATGAATTCTATGAGATCAAATAATCAAATTTTAAAATAGCAATGGTGAAAACCATCAGGTTAAAAAGATATAGTGATTAGAAAAATTGAGTTTGTGGCTAAGACTCAATTCCGTTACCCGAAAAAAACATGAAAAGTAATTGGGTTTGCCACAAACTCAAAGTTTCTAAACCCTGTATCTTTGCAACCTAATGATAAAAACCATTTATATTTCAACTTTGAATAAATGATCTGATAGAATTCATATTCCGAATTATAGAAGGTCTAAAACATCGGGTTGCAGAGTTAAAGGGATTAAAAGATCAGAGTTTGTGCCAAAAACAAATAAAAAAATTAAAGTTTTTGTTATTATTAAGGGAATACATACTGAACTAATTATCTGCTTTAACAGGCAGTGTTTTGGTTTTAACTTTTTACTTGTTCATATTTACTTGGTAAGTAACTATTATAGAAAAATAACGGTTTAATATAGATCTAAGGAAGAATTTTACCTTTCATTTATAAAGAAGATAAAAGATTATGAATTTTTTAAAGATGCTATATAAGTGGTTTCAGTGCACACAGTTGCTATGTATTGTATTTGTATATTGCAGGGTCTTCTATAGAAAGCGCCATAAACGAAAAACATTTATTTTAGTTTTAGTTTTTAAAAAGTTGGCTCTCCTTTAAAAACAACTGCACTTTAACTTTTTAAAGGGACTGTAGACTTAATTCTAAGTGATCATCCATTTAAAGAGTTGCATGTTCTATTCACAACAGTCCGCTTAAAACCTTTATTTGAAAAACCATCAGAAAGATATTGTATAGATCTTTTGTCTTAAAACGGATTGAATTTTCATCATGAATCCGCAAGACACTATAAATCAGAGAAATCACAAACAAAATTGATTTCTAGCGAGAAAAACGAGGATTTATCCTTCATCTGTAGACAAGCGTATACAGAGAACCGTTGTGAATCGGACTATAAGCTACTCTCTATTTGGTGCGGGTCAGCGTACCCTTTATAGACGATGACCTTCTTAGGTTAGCTGATCAGCTGTTCAGTATGAAGCTGCTAAACCTGTTTTATCTGTCTATCTATCTATCAGTACTTGTCTCCCATGCTTCCGCAGAGGTAAGGAAATATGTATATTTTATGTACAATGTACAATGTACATGTAACTACACACTTGACATACTCAACTTGCATGAGATACTGTACAAATTGGAAGAACTTAAAAGTTTTATATGTAATTTAAACTTTCTGGGACTTCACATTGTGTTGTTTGAAATGGTTTTTTTTCTGCATGGGCGTATATACAAGGGTCATCCGGGCCTCCATTTTATTCTATATAACTAAAAATATTTACAATAAATTCCTTGATCAAATACTGTATGCGCCTCTACTTTTCGGAACGTTTTTACATTTTTTTCTGAAGCAGGCTGCCATTTTAGCATGCTACCTAGTGTGGTATCTGCTAGCTGCAAAGCAGCTGCTGCTTTGAGCTTGTATGCTTAGCAGCTGCTGCTTTGAGCTTGTATGCTTAGCATCGTTATTCATTTGCTACTGGATGTACCAATAAACATGGAAATAGAGTAAGATGTTCTATGATCAGAATTAAAATGGAGAAACTATAATTTAAAGGGCATTACGGAAAAAGTCTTAATTGTTTTTTCCAAGCTTAAGCGTAAAAAGGAACATCTTAATGCTGTTTGTACTATTTGTAATCAGAAATTTTCTTGTGTTATATTAAGTAAAACGCTATGCAATTAATTATTAAAACAAACATTCTAAACACTATGAATTACGAAGACCTCGAAGTCTTAACTCAACTCCCATGCTTATTGGGCCACCCTGTATCATTTTGCTTTTTTTACCACCCGCTTGTACAGGATAGCATGAATGTGAAGAAGTCTGGTAAAGTCTATATTCGGTGCATGGGGGGAGATGAGAATGTATCATTAAGGCAAACCTTCTTTTTTTTACCATCTTTAAACTTAAAGCAGTGGAAAATCAACTGTTTAAAGCCCATTTTTATGAAGGACCTATAATAAACATTGATTAAATATATTCATATTTGGCAGGGGTTTAAATTGCAATTATACAGTTAAATATGTTCAAACCGCTACAGGGAAGTTTATCACTTTTTAATTGTGTGCTCTACATAGTTTACTTTATTACAATACTAGCTGAAGTGCCCGGCGTTACCCGTGGAATTTAAAAAACTCATTGCATTGAGGGAACCCAAGGATACCCATTCAAGGGTTCCATCAACTATAGCATAGCTATATCTTACACTTATATACATACATATTATATATGAGCGAAGAGTTTTACTCTATAGATAGAAAACTTTGAGAGCATAAAATCTTTAATTGTTACAGTTTTTTTGTGAGTACACCATTTTAAGCTAAATAATGTTAAATGTTAAATAAGCTGAAAAACCAAGTTACCAAACACTGCCCCATTGTGCCTAGTGTCTACAGACTCTAGTCTCAGTCAACCTATGCGTTTTCAATTTCAGTGTTTTCCTGAAATCTTTTGGTTGTGCTTTCAGTCTTGTGTAACTTTGGGACTTTGCTTGTTTTCTTTCCACTTACTAGTTTTTTACCTTAAACAAACCTAATCCATGTCTAATGATTTTCTATTGATGGCATCTATAGTAAAGAAGGAGTGTTTTATAGTTTGGCAGTTGTGAATAAATCTTTAAATGATTTGAAGCGAATATTTGGAGCTATGTGTAAGAATTATGAAAATGCACAGGAGACCAGGCAATTCAACTGTAAACAATGTTTACATTAAAAGGATTTTGTAGTAAATTTAATTGCCCCTGTGCGTATAGAGTGGCATGTCCGATTAATAAATTTCATTAAATTTATTTTGAGCAAAAATATGAAGATTTTGTCATTTTTTATCTTATAGAAAAGTGTTTAATTCTAACAAGTTCCTTCTCTTTCTCCTACTGCATGCGATTTGTTAATAGAACCGCAATGGCAAGTTAACACCATTTTTACACAGACATTGTTTTAAAAATGTTAAAATTGCGTCTACAGCAGGGTTTCGCAGCAAAATTGTGCTTCATTTTCGCATTTCGTTTGCTCGCTAAATTTCGCTTCAATCTGTTTTGTGAAAAATTATGCGAAACTTTCGCGAAAAAAAATGGAAAAAATGTAAAGAAAAACCCGAAAATTTCGCAAAAAATACAGAATTTTTAAAAATAAATGCAAAATTTTAGCGAAAAAGTTGCGAAAATTCATAAAAAAGACTAAATTTTGAGAATACAAGACTCATTTTCAAAAAGGGATTTATCAGCGAGCCCAATTGATGGATTAACACAAAATATAAATTTAGATTTGAGAACGACTAGGAGACGTCATACAATTCATAGATGTGCTTGAAAATACTTTCTCGACCGTTAAGATCTTTCTTCTTAAAACACAAAATAAAATCTACTATGGAAAGAACCAAAATAATTCGGAAACTTAAAAAGTAGAGATATTCTTCAAATATTGAGCTATCAGAGCAGAGAACTCCACAAGTTCTTTAGAGCAATTAATTTTTGCAGCTATAAAATTCATGGTTTTAACAAAATTTTCGCGAAATGCGACCGAACATTTCTTCGCTGGAAACCCTCTTCAGTCCCTTTAATATTCAAGTAAGGTATAAAGATGATTTGGTTTTCCTGAAGTATTTGACCAAGACTGTATTTTAAAACTAAAAGTCATGGAGGAGCTGTACAGTGTATACAATATACATACACAGGCCAGGAAAATATTGGATTCCATGGGAATCTTCCACCTGCCACATTTTACTTATTTAACTGTTAGAATTTTTGTAATTTTCCGCGCACCATAATTGAAAAGATTTACACTCTTAGAATGAACTATCACAATTTATGTTTCGTTCGTAAATCTTATATAACGAATTTTGCATTTTATGTGGCTTTACACAAATTTACTAATTATGCAGCATATTAAGAAGTTCTTTAAAAAAGAGAGAAAAAAAGTTTATCATTTTGCATATTGGAAATACAAACTTTTTCATGACAGTTTATAAATGTTTTTACTTCTCAGATTTTGAGAAGTCTGTGAAAGCCAGAAAAAAATGAAATAGGTTAAAAACAATTGTAAAGACTATGTAAACGAATTTAAGTGAATTGTCGGGTAGAAGTTGGACAGCTAAATGGTTAGAGGATGGCCAGGAGGTAAGAAGGAGTGCATGCTTTTTCCTTAAAGAGATTGTAGACCTAATTTCAAGTGACCGCTCCATTTATAGAGCTTGTCAGATTCACGACGGTACACTAAACAGCTATGATCGATCAAAAAACATAGTAAACTAGTATACGATTAAGCATCTAATTAAGGTTTAAAGGTAACTTTGTGAATTGTACATGCAACTCTGTACATGGAGGGTCACCTAAAATTAAAATGTTTTGTCTCTTTTTATATAATGGTTCTACGGTTAAAGATAACATCTTCAGTTAAAATAACATCTATCAAGTGTTTCATAATGACTTGCAATTAAGAAGTACAATGACATTCTGTTTACAGTAAACACACTTTTGGCAGAGATATTAGAAAGTCAAAATTTATACTAAAGTGCATGACTTTTCAAGCTTATTTTGGAATATAATAAATGGATCTACGCTATCTATACGCAGGGAATGATTTTGTTTTGCGTTTATTTCAAAGTTTTTTTTTAATCAGAAAAGTCAATATTGATTTACTTTAAGATTGGACTGTTCTCCAACAATATGACATCTAACTATTCGTATATAGTTAATATTTCAAAATATTATTTATTTTTTTATGATCCGAGAGTTTCTTTTGAAAACATTTAATTTCTGTTTGGAAGATTTTTGACAATAAAGACGACATTTTCATATTTTCCATTATTGTTCGAAAATCCAACGCCAGCCGTGAAACCAAGTTGGATGCAAAATATTAATTTTTGAAAAAATTTTAAAAAATTATGAAATATAAACTATATACGAATGCGTCGAAAAAAATCGGTGATTATAGGTTGTATTATCTGCATGACTTGTTTGGAATAAAGTAGATTTTTAAAGTAAATAGAGTCGAATAACTTTCTGAATTTGTATGGACAAGTTCTTCGCTTAGAGTCGTTTTTAACAGGTTAGGTTCACAATTGTGGGAAATGTCTGATATCAATATTTATCTTTGATTGTTATAGGAGAGTAGATCAGAAGAACTGACAGATGCAACAGCTGATGTAACTTTTGCAGAAAAAACTGCTGAAGAGGAAACTAATTCTGAAGAAATCATAGTACCTGAAGATATCAATGAGGTTGAAGCTGAAACAGTTCAGCCATTAGAGAAGGTTGATGAAACTGAGGTTGCTGAGACCGATGAAGTTTTAGAGATCAATGATTCCTCTGAAAATTCTCCAGCAGATCAGGAGGGCGTCACTACTGCCAGCGTTGATACTATTTTAGGAACAATCACAGGAACAAAACAAAAGACAGATGATGGTCATACACTCTATGCTTTCCTGGGAATACCCTTTGCACAACCTCCAACTGGATCAAGAAGGTTTAAACCTCCAATACCTGTAACTGCCTTTGAGAATTATGATGCAACATATTTCAGGAGTGAATGCCTACAAATTCCCTTCTACGGTCCTAAGCGTGGTAGTGTTGCTGGAAATGAGGATTGTCTCTACTTGAACATATTTACATCATCCTTGACTACTACCAAGGAGGCGCTGAAACCTGTAATGGTTTGGATTCACGGGGGAGGATTCCAATCAGGGTCTGCAATTGAATATGTTCCTGTGCCTCTGACCAACAAGGATGTTTTGGTTGTGACAATCAATTATCGAATGTCTGGTTTTGGATTTCTGACCTTTGGTAATGAAATAGTGAGTGGAAATATGGGGCTGAGGGATCAAATCGAGGCACTGAAATGGGTGAAAAGGTTTATCAACAGTTTTGGAGGAGATCCAAACAAAATTACTATATTTGGTCATAGCTCTGGAGCTAATAGTGTCTCAGCTTTGCAGCTTTCACCTCAGGCCACTGGTCTTTTTTCAGCAGCTATCACACAGAGTGGAAACATGCTCCAGAGACACATAAAACCAGAGTCTGCCAAAGAAGAACGAAATGCAAAGCAGCTGGCTGAAAAATTTAACTGTAAAAGTATTAACTATGATGAAGAAATGCTTGAATGTCTGCAATCTATAGATGCTACAGTATTCCTAGTTAACTCACAATATGTTGGACCTGTCAGTGCAAGTTCTTTAGAGGACACAGAACGGAGCATGTGGGCTCCAGTAGTGGATGCATACAGCCCAGATCCAATACTGCCCCTGGATCCTCTCCATGCCATGAAGGTTGGTGCTTATAACAAGGTTCCTATGATATCAGGAACTGTATTAAACGAAGGCGGGGTTCCTGTAATGGCGCTACTAGGTCCAATCCCTGATAAAGAACAAACCTGGTCTGATATTGGAGCTCAACAAATGCAAATCACTGCAAGTGGAAACATGACAGAAACCTCAGAGAATGAAATATTCCTGAAGAATATGGCAACAAAGTACTATACTGGAGAAATATTTGATCTACGTATTTCAGGAGAAGGTTGGATGAATCTGTTCACAGACATCATGTTCCTAAGTCCAGATCAAAAGATGATGGAAATTCTTTCTGAAGCTAAAGTTCCTGTTTATAACTACCTGTTTAGCTTTGTAGGAGAGAATACAGTAGCAGAATGGTATGGAGCTCCAGACAACAGTTTGTCTCCAGTTCATGGTGATGATACGCTCCACTTCTTTCAGTCAATTGGAGGTGTGAAGATACAAACTGAAGAAGAGAAAAGACTGTCTGAAAAGATGACCAGCTACTGGACAAACTTTGCTAAGTATGGAAATCCTTCTCCATTCATGTATGATGATCTTCCGCAATGGAAACCCTATTCTGATAAAAAGGTAAAATGTAAACTGAGCTGGGAACTTTTAATGGGATATCGTTAATCTCGACAGCTTAATTAATCTGGAGATTAATAACAAGAGGAGAACCAGCATTATTTAATCTGGAGATTAAGATTAAGCATTGATCTCGATAGCCACAATTCTAAAGTTTTCAGCTATTGTCTGAGAACTCTTATTTTGCAGATTAATTTGATCTTTATTCGATATCAATCGCATGGTAATCTTACTCCATGGAGGAACAAATGAAATGAAGAGATTAAGCATTTATCATCAAATTAAAAGGGCCCACAGTGCATATCGAGATCAAGGGATCGGTATTTTGAGTAAAAATGTACAAAAGTTCTCAGCTCGGATCTCAGAACAAAGAGAAAAAGATTAGCAACTTGGCTTTACTCCTTACACATTACTGAATTAAAAATTAGAAGCAAAATTAATTAATTTTATTAATAATTTGGAAATACATCAGCTGTTGTTAGTCTTCATCTCTCATTGGTCTATTTTAAGGATTTCTAGGCCCTGTTATTAATTTTCCTTAGTCGACCTTTGAACTTTGAGAGATAGATTAAAAAAAAGGATGAGAATTCAAAATTTCCATCGATGAACATGCCATATTTAAAAAATTGCATTAAGTTATAAACTGCATAGTGCGTATCCAAGTTTTACATTCACTGCTTTAATTGTCAAGATGAAAAAGAAAAGAATTGAGTTTTTGCAACAACCTGAAATTTTCTCATTCCATATCTTTGTAACTTGATAGTGTAAAACTTTGATGTCTAAAACTCAACTTCTTTACTAAAAAATAATTTTACGTTTTTGTAAAGAGATATCTGGAGTTAAACACCAAGCCGGAGATGAAGTCAAGAGTTGCGCCTGAGCGAATGCTTTTCTGGCAAAGACTGCTGTGGGATCAAAAGTAAGTAAACTATCCTTATATTTCATTGGACAACTCTTCCCCCCCCCCCCTCCCATCAACATATTTCATTCTCCAAATATAGCTTTACTAGGGATTGTTTAAAGGGACAGTCCGGCTATGTAAGGTAGTTACACTGAGTATGCAGTGTTCATGGACAAATTCTTTAGGATTCATTTAAGACATTTAAAACATTTAAAACATTAAAAGATCTGTAAATCCTGAGTTTGAGCGCAAAGTCGACTTTTAAACTCGTACTTTTGGTTGGGTACGTTTTCAGAATTGTTCTTTTTTTAATTATTAGATAATGACGACAAAAAATGTAAACAAAATTCGACTCAAAGAAGTTTGTAGTAAGATTTCGATTCTACTGGAGATCACCGGAGGGATTTTATTTTCACTGGAGGGGTTTCAAAAAATGCTTTTTACAATTTAAAACTTTACGCAGGGTTATTTACATTCCACTGGAGGGATTCAGATATCCTTCCAAGGGGTTTATAATTCCACTGGAGGGATTCAGTTATCCTTCC